GGCCCCATCCTCTCAGATTTTGAGGGGTTCCGACGAAGGAGGGTGCAATGCGATTAACATTGGATTTTTTAATTTATTTTTTTTGGTCAGGTGTAGGTGCCTTAAAAATAATTCGTTCGGGGTATGATAGACACGCCCGAGAGACTCACCTGGTGTGCGCGTTGCCTAACCTCGACTCCGCGGGCGCTGCCAGCCTGCTGCCACCGGTTGTCAGGTGCCTGCCTTCGATAGTATCGATACGCGTGAACAGGCGGCCGACGAAGAGCCTTCCCTTCCGCTGGCGAAATTAATTCGGAAACTCGTCCGTTTTATGCACGGCCGCTGCCGTAACTCTGACCGCTCCCTTCGGCCCCAGCCTCGGCCCCACTAACATAATTGCGCGAGAGCCATACCTGCTCGTCGGCAATGTTTGTTTCCGAAACCGCGGGGCAAAAGAGGAAAGAGGAACGGTCGGACAGAGATGGGAGGAGAGGAGCAACACTTTGAATATTTCCAGCGGCGAGTAAACACCGGACGTGGAAACGCTTCCATTTTTAATTGGGCGACTTGCGCGGAGACAGGTGGAAGGGCTGAGTGCCTGCCAGGCTGGCGCGCGGCCTGTATGGGCTATGGACGGCCCGACGGGCACGCTCCAACTCCGAGTGCGGTGCGCGGCGCGCGGCCGGAGAGAGCTGTATTCGAAAATAGCCTGCGATGGGCCTGGATGACGCGCGGTCAGGCGTGGGGAAAGGGGGGGGGGGCGTGAGAGAGCTGCCCCCCACCGACCAGGGAGGGGAAGAGCGAGAACAGGGCTCGTCAAGCGAGGTGAAATTCCAACACGCAAATGAGGACATTCGCGAGGGTCGCGCGGTGCGACCGTTTAGCACTGAAAGACAGCAACACTCAGGCAGGCAGGGCGTGGCGGCGGCACGGCGCGGCACGGCACGGCACGGCCAGGGCGGCAAAGTAGCAGTCCCACACATAATGGGGGAAAAGGGACAACAACAAAAATCACGGCTGCGACAAGAGAGTTTTTGTTTTGCATTCACGTGGGTGGAAGTGTGGTGCGGCGTGGCGCGACCCCCCTTCCCTCATCCCTCCAAACCCCCCAAAAAAGCGCCGCACCTCTGAATGGGCAATTTAAAGCCGAATAACTTGCACGGATTTCCCTTGCAGATACCCACTTTTTTCCGCGCGCCGCCAAAAGTACGGCAGTTTGGGAGCGCCGCGGGGGGCAGGCAGGCAGGTCTGGGGCACGCCGGCCCCGCACATTACGGCGCGGAGACTAAAGGGCTTAAATCTAGCATGCCGTGTACACCGCACGCCGGGACCGCCGGCAGCCCCAGCGGCAGTGGCGGCCCCACTCGCCTCGCGCGACGACCGCACCACCGGGTGGGTACTCGCACGACCGCGACGACCACCCTCGTCCACCCAGACCTCCACCAAGGCCCGGCCAGCGCGACCAGCGCGTCCAGCAAGGAAACCACGACCTCCGCACCATCCCCCGTTCATGGCCACCTAACACGGCCTGGATACCACTTGTTCACCCCAGAGCAGCTTCATCCCTCCGTACCTGCACTGGTATCTTCACCCCGGCCTCCGCCGTTCCCCCACCCCTTCCCTCTCGCGGGGCACGTAGTCGCCGGCTAACTGTCGGAGAGCTAATGCTGTTTAAAACGTGTTACGCGCGTGACACCGGCATCCCTCTCCCCCACCCCCTTCCCCGCGCCGCCCCGACGCGCTCACATAAAACTGGCGCGGCTGGCCAAACCGACTCAGTGTTCCTCATTTAGCAGGCAAAGCGAACGAGTGCGGCGAGAGGGATTACCCGGGGCGGGGCGGGCGGGGCCGCGTCGCCGGCCAAAGCCAGCGAACGTGCGTCGCCGCTCCGCCCGCCCACCAGCAGGCCGGCAGGGCGTTACGACTAGTTTATGGCGTGCATTAGCAGCGCGCGCGCAACAGCACCCAGGTCGTGCAGTGGGACAGTCACGGCCGCGGCAGCACCGCCAGTGAGGGAGTGCGGCGCGACGTCACGCTCTTGGCGCTCTCGGCGGAGTGCCACACGGTCACGGAGGCTCGTGAATCTTTGAGGGACGCCGTCGCGGCACCGCGGCGTCGACCTGGCGCCTCCACTGTCTGACGCCGCCGCGGCCGCCTCAAAGCAGCGCCGCCGCGCGTTCGGCCGGAAGATTAGGCACGGAGTTCAAACAGCGCGGCGAGGCTTTCGCGCGCTTTATCCAAACCGTTTGACGGCGATGCCGGAAGACCGAGGCCGCTGTTGCTGCTCGTCCTGTACTCTGTAGTCTTATCGCTCCGTCTCTCTCTCACCCCTGCGGGACGCCCCATGAGTGCGACAGAGACAGAGCGGCGAAAGCGCTGCGCGTGATCGCTCTGCTGGACGCGACGGGCTTAAGACCCGGCGTCGAGCCCGCCCACCGCACCGCGCTGTGTAGCCCCGCGGTCCGACAAGGTGCGCGCCGTCGGCGGAGCGGCGTTGCCGTTTGGGATTTCCATCACACAGGGGTGCGCGACGCTGCGAGCACGACACGGAGATCAAGGTTGATATCGCGACTCGGCGAGTATTGACGCGGCCGTGTACCCCACCCCCTTCAACGAGCCCCAGGGAGCCAGCTAGGCAGCTAGGCATAGACCCCTGTCACCATTCATTACCGCGTGGGATATTGCTGCCCCGGCTCCTCTGCAGCTCTCAAGCCGCCCCGCCCCACCTTTCGGACCCCCGCCGCCACCACGCCCCCCGTGTGGGAGGCGAGCGTGGGGCCACTGCACCCCCGGTCCCCACAAAGGCTGCGTTTTGGTCACTAAGAATGCCCGCCGCGCCGCGCCCCGCCCAGGCCGGCCGGCCAGGCACGGGCAGTCCTAAAGGCCCCCCCCCGCCATTTCGCTCCGTTTGTCTCCATTCTCGCACTCTTTTATTGCCGTTTATGCCGCCATCCGTCTTCCGCTGCCCATCATTTTCCGAGCGCGACCTCTCCTCTATTCTTCCCTCTTCTTCTCCTTCCTGCGCGTCCTTGCCACGTCCGTCCGCTCTCTCTCTCTCTCTCTCTCTCTCTCTCTCTCTCTCTCTCTCTCTCTCTCTCTCTCTCTCTCCTCTCTCTCTCTCTCTCTCTCTCGGCCGCACTGCCCCCTCATGTAATTTGCAAAGCGCCGGCGCGCGGTGCGGCCTAGCACTGTCAGGCTCCAGGCGGCCGCTCCAGCCGCACGCCGCTCCAGACACGCCTTGCATGGCTCAGTCGCACGCCGCTCCAGTCCAGACGCACGCCTACAGTGGCCAGCCGCATCCGTCACACGCAAGTCCCTCCAGCCGTTAGCAAAAATCCACACTCACCTCGTTGACGTTTGGAAAAAAAAGGCCAAAGATACAGGGAGAAACTCGCAACCCAAACCTCATCACGCAAAACACACAAAATTATTCAAAGAGCACGTCTGTAACTAGCTCCCCACAGTCAGTCCCTTGTCTCCGAGAGCGACCGGCGACCCTCGCAGAAACACACACACACACACACACACACACACACACACACACACACACACACACACAGCCCCCGTCAGTACCTTCGTCCCGCCAGTTTGCTTAAATTTCGTGGAAAGCTAAGCCGACTATCGCGACGTCCACTGCAAGGTTTCGACTGTGAATGCAGAGGCACGCGTTGCAGTGCCCCCCCCTCTCCCTCCGTCGCCACTAACTTGAGCCCCCCTTCCCCCGGCCACACCACCTCGGTCCATCGGTCCAACTTGGTCAAAGTTATTCGCAGCGAGCTATTCGAGCAGCACAGCCAGCACAGCCCCGAGCAGAGGCGGCCGAGCCGAGCCGGCCGTGGCGGTCCAGGGTTGTCGAACAGCCTCCGGGCTGCGACGGCGCCGCGCTCGGCCGCGCTACACACAAACAAACTTGTCCCTCTGCTTAGGTCGTCGTCGTCGTCCTCGTCGTCCTCGTCGTCTTCTTCGGGACGCGAAATCGAGGCACTTTTCGGCCGCCCTGCGTCTATACACCCACATCCCGCAGATCAAGGTGCCAAGTGCCTCGCTGACAGGCCGACCGAGCAGGCGAGCGGACATGCGGACGGACAGGCAGACAGACAGACAGACAGACAGACAGACAGACAGACAGGCAGGCAGGCAGACAGACGGACGGACGTGCCGCGTCATCACGCGATAGCGGGCGTGACACGCCGTGTCAGCCTGTCAGCCCACGCGTCCACATCGAGTGGCCGAACATTTCCGATGACAGCGCCGCTGCAGCCACTCAGTGTGTGTGTGTGTGTGAGTGTGTGGCGGTTGCGTGTGGAGTCAAAATCAAGCCAGCGCGTGACAGCAAAGGAGCCACGCAGGGGAAAGCCGTCTTCGTCGCCGAGCTATCCGCCGGCCCGTTCTGTTGTTTTCACCGCTCTCTCACACTGCGATCCTCTGTGTACGTGTGCGGGCTGTGGGAGTGTGTGAGTGAGAGCGAAAGAAAGAGACTGTGCTCTTTCTTGATGGCAGTTAGCACTCTACACGGTCCGTCGCCCAGAGAGGGTCAGAGACACAGCGTCCTTTCAGCGTGCCGCGGCCTGGCGGCCTGGCGGCGTTGGAGGCCGGCCGGGACGCCGGAACGCCGGGACCGCGGCGGCAGCCAGAGGGCGCAGAGCGGCGCAGAGGGTCCAGAGTCCCGGGGGACGTCGCTGCACTGCGAAAACCATTTCGCGCGGACGCTGCATCGCGCACGGCCGCGCGCAGCCGAGCCCGCACGTCTGTAGAGGCTCCAGTGAGAGAGAGAGAGAGGGATAGACTGAGAGGCAGAGTAAGAGGGAGAGGGGCAGCGAGGGCGCGTTTAGGACAGTAATTAGGACCGTGTCTGCCCACGCCTCGGATATTCAGAGTTGAGAGTTGAAAAGAGCTGGGGGCCGCTAGTAGGCTCAGCCCGCCGGGAGGGGCACCACCGGTGACATGCGGTGACTTCCCGCTCTGTCCCTCTCTCTCTCGCACTCGTGGGCGCCGCGTGCGAGAGAGAGACAGTGACTCACCTGAGGCCGGGGACGTGCAGCACCTCATGGCCCGCCGCGTCCACCCACGTGACCCGGGGCGCGGGCTGCCCCGCCGCACTGCAGTCCACCACCACGCCCGTCGAGTTGAGGAACTGCACGAGGGGCGGCGGCTCGGCCAGGAACACGGGGCCCTGCGCCGGGGAGTAGCCATCGCCTGCGGAGAGAGAGAGAAGACGTCAGAAATCGTCCTGGAAAAAACAGGCATCTTTCCTGCAGTGTAGCCCCTCATACCACGGGCCCTGGTGCTCGATCCCTCTCGCCGAGAACCCTGTCCTGGCTATATGCTCCGTGTAATGACGGTGCGATGCACCGCCCGCCGAGCGGTTCCGCACAAAGATCGTCGCGCTGTCTCTCTCGCACTCACGCCGTGCCCCGCAGCGGCGCGAGAGAGACAGCGCGAAACTCCGTTCGGAGTCAGTCTGGCGCGCACACCGGAGAGGGCGCGCCGGAGGGGCCGCCGGTCCGCGTGGCGCAGTCACTGGAAGGATTCAACGAGGACCCGATCCAGGGGACTGGACTGCAAGCGAGGAAGAAGGAGAAGAAGAAGGGAGGAAGAAATCCATTTTTCCCTCCCAGCGGGCCAGCAGGCCTGTCGACGGGTGGCGGGTAATCCAAGGCGGTCCGACCGACAGTGTGCTGCTCTGCCTGCTCTGCCTGTTCTCCCTGCTCCGCCCGCTCGACATGCGAGTGCGAGCGAGAAGTGTTGCCCGCGGGCCGGCCACGCCAGGCCACGCCGGACCACGCCGCCTCCGTGGGGATACCGCGGCTAAGCCGTTCGGCGGCGGCCCGGCCGGGCCCGCCCATTTTTCTTGACCCCGCTTACACCGAAAACGGCGAAGAAACAACGTTCTGTCTTTTTTTGGAGCCCGCGCCGTCAAAAGCGAGATCGCCCCCCCACCCCCCACCCTCACCCCCTCCCCTGGCCGCCGCCGCCGGGTCACCCAGCCAAGCAGCACAGCATTCAACCAGCCAAACGCACAGCGCGGCGCAACCTCCTCCCCCCTCCTAATTCCTCCCTCTGAAGTCGGCTGCGGCCGCTCAGATATGGCAGTGTAGGCAATCCCATTACATCTGCGGGGATGAATTCATCCCTCATCCTTTCCCACAACGCAGCAGGGAAAAATAGCGGAGAGAGAGAGAAAAAAAAACAAAAAGAGAGAGACAAAAAAATAGGAATAAAGAGAAAAGGCTGCGGCGCACAACGAGTAGATTCGCAGCAAATCTCTGGCCGGGACTTTGTGGCCGGCGCGTTAAGTGGCATTAAGGGCTTAAATGGCGTGGACAGCGAGGTAAGTAGCTTTGCCTGCTTTGCCGCGTGTAAAACCCGAAAGGGAGACGGAAAGAATACCGTGGGGCGCCGCGGCGTGACGTGGCGAGCGAGTCGCGGGACTGCCGCCGGTGTATCGCCAGCCGCGGCCCGCACTGCAGCACCGCCGGGCCGGGCCCCGAGGAAGGACACGGCACACCAGCAAAAGGAGAGGCCAGGACTCGGCCGGCAAAAGTGCGTCGCGGCGGCGAGGGCGTTATCGCGCGAAGGAATTGGGAAGGCATTGAAGCGAGCCGAGCCGAGCCGGGGCCCGAAAGCAAACCGTTCCTAGTTACAACTGAATGCCCCCTCCCCTCCCCCCGGCGAGGACCACGCCACGGGCGGGGGGAGGGGAGGGGGATAAGCAGGACAAACCAATCTCCACAAGCCTCTAAAACCGCAAGCACGACCCAACTTGAGACCTCCCCGCAGCAGCTGTATAAGCGGTTCTGTTCTGGTAGCGGCGCAGCGGCCCCGGGGGCGGGGGTGGGGGCGGGGGCTGCAGCGCCGGGGGCGGCGTTTGGGTCGTGGCCGGGGCAGGATGCCGGACATAACAGCACAATGAGTGCGGCCGCGAGGAGAAGAAGGCCCTCGTGGCGGTGAACGGGCCAAAGTGAATGCGTTTCGGCAGGGTAAAGAGGTCTGTTCCTTTTTGATGGAGCCTAATGCGCAGGTGTGTCGGGGCGTGGTGGTGGGGCCGCTGTGGGCGGTGCGACCGCAGGGAGCCGTGTGATGGGTGCCCTGATGGCCTCTCTGCGGCGGAGGGTAAGTCAGGCCGGGGGAGGGGGCGGGGGGTGTCATAGGGGAGGTCTGGGACGGGTCGTGGCGCGACGGCTGCCCACCGCACCGCTGCACCTCGACCCGTGTGGGTCATTTGTGCCTGGGAGTAAGGACCACCGGTCTGCTCGCCAGTGTGTCCGTCTCTCTCGCACACTCCCTCGGCCGGGAATAAACCCAATGGCATTACACGCTCCATCAGACGGCGCCGGCCGAGGCGTCACGGCGAGACGGACGTGACACACTGCAGTCTCTCTCGCACCCGTGCGGGAAGCCTCGTGGCTGCGAGAGAGACGGAGCGACGAAAAAGACTGTCGGAATCAGTCTGCTGGCCGGCGCCGCGCCGCGGCGGGGCGTGATGGACGCCGTGATGGACGCCGGGTTGGTTCGTGCAGCAACGGCGGGCCGGACCGAAAAACACCCCGGGGCTGATGAGCAGGCGAACCAAACAGCCAAACTCGCGGCGGCGCGGCCGAGGCCGAGGTCGAACCTCCACCCACGCGAGGACGCCGAGTGCGAGGAGAAGGAGCGACGTGTTTAGCCCCGGCGACAGGGACTCGACAAGCGTGTGTCCGGGACGGGAAAAGGGATCAGAGAAAGGAAAAGGAGGTTTCTCTCTCTCGCCTTATTTTCTGGTCTGTCGGTCCAGTCAGAGTTTGGCGCGGAAGTCCGTCAGCATCGCCGCCGCCCCGCTTCTCCAAGTCTCACTCCATCCCAGCCGCCGAGGGCGCCGAGCCCGGCCGAGCCCGGCCAAGCCCCTGGCGACGTAGGCAACATCCGAGACGGCGCGCACGCCCGCGCGCCGGGTTGCCTATCGCCCCATTCGCAGGCGCTCCACCCGCCGACAGATTCATCGCCTTGTCTCTGTCGCACCCCTGCGGGACGCCCCGCGAGTGCGAGAGAGACAGAGCGAAGCCAGCGCGGCGCAGATGGCAGGGTAGGGACGCGAATGGCCGGGGGATCGCGCGCTGACGCCCTGCCGACCCGGCGTCAGCGATTCCCGCTCCACGGCGTCGGCCAGCATCTCGGGGACGCGGTGCGGCACGGCGCTCCCGCGAAAATCCGATCCCATATCGACCGTAACTACCCCCTCTCCGGGACGCCGCGACTCCAGGACGCCGCCGTGCCGCGCTGACGGCCGTACCTGGACAACGCCTTCTGGAGTCCTGGAGGCTTGTTCGGCGCGCGGCGGCTGTAGCGGCCACTGTAGCGGACTGCCAGCCCCGTGTCTAACAGCTCCAATTATTCATTGGGCAAGACGGGCCGCGCGGAGGGGAGGGGGGGGGGGCGTGGCCGTGGACCTGGGACTCTGCTTGATGAACGGCTGGAGTGGCAGGTCGCCGGGTCAGCAGCAGCTGCGCGGCGTGGTGCGGCGTGGCGGCGCCGTGAGGCTCCCTCTCGGGTTCAACTAACCGTGTGCGACAAATAAAAACTCCGACGACGCCGGCGAGCGGCGGCGAGAGGTGGACGGCGACACTGTAAGAAAATGCGGCTCCGCCTCCCGGAGGCCCCGGCAAATAAATGACCGATCCGGGAGTGGGGCGAGGACGACGACGACGTCGTGGACGTCGTGTGTGTCGCGCCCGCCGTCGCCGAGCAGGGCAATAAGAAGACACACGGGCACACGCGCGGTGCCGCGGGCGGCGCGGGGCGGTACAAAGAATAGCCCCTGCAAAGCGGCCAGGCCCGGCCAGCCAGGCCCCGGCTGAGCACACCAAAGGCCGGCTGGCTTATTGAATATCGTTTGTATATCCGAAACCGGTGGGGCGTGTCGCAAAGGGCGCTGCAGTGGGGGCCCACTGTGGGGACCACCTCGTCGCTGTCTCTCTCGCACCCACGGGGCGCCTCGAAGGGGCGCGAGGGAGACAGCGGCGAGGCAGTGCTGGGAATCAGCCTGCAGGGTGGCCGGGCACGGCGGGGTTTTACGGACAAGGCGACACGCATGCTTCCCTGCCCCCGTGTTTTTTGCTGCTTTTGCCGTCCCAGCCTTCCAGGACGGCGATCAGAAAGACGAAGGCAGCGGTCCGGCTAATGACGTCACGATGACAAAACGCGCAATGAAAGGCGACGATAACGCAACAATCGGGGTGTATGCGCTCCTCGTAAACCTGCTCACGCCAAGCCCCGCCTGCCTCATCATCCACGGCAAGCGAGCGCGCACACAGACGCGCACTCACACAGACACACGCGAGCGGACGCCTGGCACTGATTTGGCGTGCTGGATACAAGAGCCCTCCACTCTGGGACTGGCTGGCTAGGCCGGCTAGGCCGGCCGGATCCCCCATTGGAGCCGCGTGTAAGCCGAGCGGCCGTCCCCCGCCGGCCTAGTAACCCAGCTTGTCTGAATTTAGCCTCCCCCTCCCCGACACTAGAATCTCCCGCCCGCGATCTCATTATTTTTATACACACGTACTTCTAATTTAATCTCGTCGGAATTTTTCCGTGCCTCCAGCCTCCAGCACGTGTCGGGCGGAGGTCGGCGGAGGCCGTGCACCACACTAGTTCGTTATTCATTTTTGCCGGTCATTTTTCTTTCAGCGATTACCGCACCTGTGCGCCTTCGCCCTCGGACAGCTTTTTTTGTCCCGAACCTCTTTCCCCCTCCCCCCCCCCTTTTCCTCTGTCTTGCTCCTCGTGCTGCAGCCATCGGCGGCCCATTAGAGAGGCCAGCAGCTCGTCCTGGCCGGCGAGGAGGACGAGGAGGCCGAGGGCGTGATGAGGGGGGATGAAAGGGGGCAGGAAGCCGCTGGTTCCAGCAGCGGGCGATAAATGATGGCCAGACACACGCCCTCTCTGTCGCACTCATGCGGGGCGCCGCGCCGTGAGTGCGACGGAGAGGGAGCGCTCGGGACGACGCGGCGGCGGCGCGGCGGCCAGAGAGTGAAGGGGTTTCCTGTCCTTCCTCTTTCTCTGCAGCGCTGCAGCGGCCCGCGCAGCCCGCCGCCGTGTCGTATCATTTGTAACGCGCTTTCTTCCCCGAGAGCAGACCGCCCCGCCCCGCCCCGCCCCGCCTCCTCGAGTATTCTTTTCTCCTGGAGGGCACGACGACGACGACGAGGCTTGTCCGTTTT